ATTTAAAAACTATGTCGAGCAACTCGACGTTCGATCTGCCGCAAGGAAATGTTATGTCGACTCGATGTACTTGTTTTCGGGAAAGGAATGATATAAACTGTGCTTAAATGTTTATTTTTAATTTGATTTTTGTAATCCTGGTTGATGATACAAGAATCAGAACGAATGTAACTGATCATGGTAATACATAATACTACTTGGAATATTACACATAAGCGAGTAAATGAAAATAATTGATTGTAGTTAGATTTCTTTTATGAAGGCAACAATCTCACATTACTCACGGCACGAAGATACTACTGTATTTGCTCTGAGTCACCAGTATCAATTAATCATGCCGAGCTCAAAGTCTGAAAGTTAGCGAGAAAAAATATTTTTATCAAATAAAGCGTAAGCAGTTCGTGTGTTTAATGATTCTCCGGTATGCTGTACAAGATTCTTCTGAAACGTTACCCTTTGAAGTATTAATATATTAAATGGAATCCGTTAAAAACGTGAAATTCAACGACGTCCACGCAGACAAACGAATAAGCAACTAATATGGCGGACTTCCTTTGTCGATCCCGTCTGCGTTTATCCCGCGTATCGGGCACAGACGCGCCAATATCGCCGCAGAAGAATAATAATCCGCGTGTAATGGAGGCAAGCCGTTCGACACTTTATTCTCTCGCTGGTCTGTTGTTAAATATTTCGTTCGATTCGTCGCTGTTTCGTATTCAAACAGCAGCTGTTTCGACATTCCTTGAACAGAAGCGTCGCTACGTACGCGCGAGACACGATTCGTATCTTAATTGGAAATTTGCTTATTCAGATAAGAGGGCGGTTATATCGTGGTCAGTATCAAATTCAATTGACGAAGAAGAATATTCATTGGCGTTAGAAGCTCAAGAATAAATCAGCCATCGAAAGCTAGGATAATTTAACAAATAATTGAAAAATGTCGGTTGAAATGAAAGGAGGATTAAATGTTCAAACGTTTTCGGAAAATGGAAGACGCAACGTTAAAATCAACATAACGCAAAGCGACATCTATGTAACCAACTTTGAAGGAAAGTTTTTTTAAACTTCGCCAAAAAGAATACTTTCATCTGAAGAATTTCATTATTTCATTATTACAAAGAAGTAATTGTATGATTTGAATCGCTCTAGCTTCCAACATCTCGAGTGACAAACCTGTCAAAGAAGTCATTAATTACGTAGAACAAAGTATTTCTTTAAAACAATTCTATTTTCACAGCGGAAGTTCGTATGCTAAGTCTGGCCCGAGAATATCCAATAAATTCACAAACGCGGTTCGAAGAAAATTAAGATTGACAGCCTATAAGTCGCGAGTCCAACGTATCACTGTCAACGGAAGTCGTCAAAGTCCCGGGAGTCTTGGAAACCCGCGAAGACGCGGTTTTATCAAAATCATGGCCACAAATAGAGAGGTAATTGCACGAGAGTGGTATTTGCCGTTCGACAGCGAGGCAAACGCGTGATCTATTTACTTCATTATATGTATGTAGGACGAGCGAAGAGGCAGATAATCGCGATGTAAACAGGAGACATACGTACGCGTTCCTGGCAAGAGGATAATCCGCATTTGCAAACAGAAATTTAAAGGTTCGGCCAGTGGCAATCGGTTTCAAAAGCGGACTTTTGACGCGTCCGTTAACACGTTTACTCGCAAGCCAAACTCCACGAAGCTGCCATAAAATCAAAATACTTCATTCAATCGCCCTATCCTGTCACCTCGCAGCTGCTACCAAAATTCAGTTCACTGAATCCGTTACCACAAAAACAATCTACAACCTGTACAAAGAATCACTTAAGCATATCGCGTCAATCAACGTTTCAAACTGACTCACTCTTCAATCCTCCGTTCCAATTCAGTCATGTTCGTAACCAAATAATCAACACTAAAGAATAAAACAATAAACCATCGAGAAGCAATGACTCTACCAACAACGAAAACTCCGTCAAACGTTCGAATCCCGACCATCATCCGCCGACTCACCTCGTCGATGCTCGAACCTTAACCCCGTGACATTCTTAAAATTCACATGAAACCCGCGAGATCCCCGTCACCCGCGTCGAAAGCCTCCCGCACTCGGTCGACCCGTCAAGTCACAGGATTTCCCACGCCAGACATGCGTACGCGCCGTTCAACTCGGACATGGTCGTCCACCCTCGACACTGACGGAAGCCGCGGGTCAATCGTGGTTGGCCATTTGTCATGGCGGACAGTGCCCTAAACAGCCCGCGACCGTCATCGAGTACCACAGTCCTCCTCTGCCAAGTACACAGTCCCTATCGAACCCCATGACACCCGGCTAAAAGACTCCTCTTCGAATATCCTCCCTAACCAATCACGATCGTCGATCGATAAATCGTTCCCGCGCGAGGGTGGAGAACATAAGCGCGGGGTTAATCGTTGGAGGAATATTCCGGTATCTTTTCGCGGCGGCGTCATGGCGCGAACTAAAGAATATCGCAGTTGTAATTAAGAAAACGGAGCCGCCGCCGCCGCCACCGCCGCTGCCGCCGCCGCCGCTGCTAGCTGGCTCGTGGGGGCGAGGGGGTGTCGGAGGCTAGGCTCGAGGCTACGCGGGGGTGGCGTGCACCGGTCGGGGGTGGAAAAGTCTCTGAAAAACGCGCGCATGACAATGCCGCCCCTCCTTCTCGCCCACCCCACCGGCTCCCTTCGGCCTCTTCTCTTTCTCCACCTCCACCTTGAAAGCCTCCTTCCTTCTCTTCTTTTTCCCAACCT